TTTTTTTGTTTTTATTTTAAAAAAATTTTATTTTTTCTAATTGCTGTTTTGGTCTGATTTGTATTCAACACTGCGCCTCAGTTATTCATATGTATACCAGAGTAAGATTAGTCGCAAGATAAGGTTAACCTAGAACAGTGAAAGTTATCTTTAAATGCATAGCGAAAACTCTTTTGCATTTTATCTGACAGAAGGAATAACAGAAACTGAGTATCTGTCAAAATGGACGAGTGTATTTTCAAAAGTAGGAGTCATAACACTAATTCGCTGTTTGCATAATTTTAGGCATTTGATTAGCACTTTTTGAAAACAGTTAAGCCAATTTTAAAAAACCTCACCATAAAATTGCTCTGATTTTAATATAAATATTTATTGAGTAATGTTGAATTTGGTCGTATTATATACTGATACTGTTAGAGATGTGATGTCGATCTGGCGCATAAGGCAAATTTAAAAACTGCAAAAGCAAAATTACAATCTTTGAAGTCCCGAAAATAAAGTGCACTTAAATAAGATCGACAAGACTTAGAAAGTAGCAAAATAGAGAAATAAAAACTTTGGACGGTTGCGAAGTATTTGATGGAAAGGCATTTGGTGGCATTTATGTGACCTCAGTTAACCATAAAACTAAATATATCTAAAAAACAATTATTTTTGATATTAAAAATTATTATAGTCAAATAGCTTATAATTAGATTTTTGGAAAAAATGGACAGTTATTTTTGGTTATCACATTGGCGTTAATAGAAAGAAAATTTTGTCATTATTTCAAATATCATTACGGAAAAAATTGACTATTGAATGTTTAGTGACCGACGAAAGCAAAAAAAGCTTTCTTTCTGCTCCGCCTAACACTATTTTAGGCTCAATTTCTTATTTAAACTTTTTGGAATCATAAACGGGAAAGTATTGACAAATTGAGGAATGAAGAGAATGTTGCATGTTTACAGATTCACTTAAAAATTTCAAAATAGTGCACAAATTTAATACAAAAAAATAAGTAGAAAGTTAATTTGCTTTAAATGTAATATAGTTTAGGCAGTTAGTCGGGCTACCAAAAAAGAGTAAAACGCATAAACAAATCTCAGAAATAATGGAACAGTAAACTATAAAAAAAATTAACATACAAATAAGGCTATAATACAGTACTGAAGTAGATGAAGTGATGTACTGAAATCTCGAAAAAAATTTTCGGAACATAATTGTAGATTGTTTCTTACTATTTTCAGTGGATTGTGAGGTTAACAAATTTCAATCTTCATTATTCTTTTGAAAAATGAAGCACAGTATCGTTGTACTGATTTTAATTTGTTTTGCTTTATGTTATATTAAAATATGTAATTGTTGTAGCGTTAATTTTTTTTTATAAAGGCGCAGTAATACATCCTTTTTTCGTTCTATCTTATTAGAGTGATTAAAAATAAGTTTGTATAATTCATTTCCTAATTCTTAAGTTTCTAGATTTTATAGAATTTTGAGAAGATCCGTTTTCTTTTTGTTGCTCACAATTTTGAAAATGTGCATCAAACTGAAATGCAGGTCTCGTTTATTTGGTAAAAAGTTTGACAAAAGCGGTTTCTAGATCTCGTGGTTTACGCCGCTTATTTGTAGCTATGGCTTCACACTGCAACTGGAGTAGGTGAATTAGAAAGTTTTTGTAGTCATCGAGTTTTATCTTGACGATGAAATGAAGGAGTAGTGCTACATGCTAGAGGTCAAGTCTTAAAAGAGAGTAAGGAGCTTAAGCACCAAATCTTTAGACCCATACAACGAAGAAGATAAAAAATTGTAAGGAGCAGTGACTCACTTTTCAACTCTTTTGATGAAATTTCTGACACAAGAGGAAAATAAAGCCTATGTATTAATGTCTAACTTGTGTAAAATGACCTCGGTACTGATGTATCTATTTCGATCTTCCATACTTTCTGTTGAAGTTTTCTGAAATGAAGCCAAACTCCCAGTGAGTGCAGATTTTGAAGAAAGGCTTTAATCATCAGTGAAATGTTTTAAAAGTTTTGTAATTTTTGATCATACCTTCCACTCGTTCCTATTGCGTAAATAAAATAAAAAAAGTAGCACGAGTTAGAAGAGTAACAGAGAAATTTTTT